AGCCCTAGACGCCAGGGGAGAACTGCGCCATAGCGTTTGCAGTCTTTCTTGCTCAGAAAAGCTGATGGGTTCAAACTCTGGTGGATTAAACTAAGGTATCATTTTACTACTGCATCACCAGGACTCCTAGCTCCCTGGTCCAGCTGAACAGGCAACACTTCTTATGATGAGTTGCACAGAAAAACTTACCTTTTTCTGAACACACTGTTTGGACTTTATGTGGCATTGATTTAGGAGAAGCTACGTTCATATATTTTCTTCTTCTATGCCTCTATGACTAGTGATAGTTTTAGTTCAGACAGCTTTTTAAAAAAATATTTCTATTACTGTTCTTTTAAAAAATTGGCTTCATTTCCTTTTGTTATTTATTTTCTTTGGAAGGTATTCTTTAAAAGACCCTCTCTCTTTGTGATGGCTTCTTTCTCAGCTTTGTTGAATTTATCTTTCCAGGAAAACATCCATTAACTTAATTAATTTTTATACAGATACCATATTTTATTTCATCTAAGATCAATTGTAACATGCAGAATTATTTTACACACTAGTAGGAAAGACAAACAATGTTGTCAATTATAATTACAAGGAGCCATCAATTGAAAGATATGTCCTGATTCTAGATATATTAAAATGTAAACAGTTTTGTGTTTTTGAATTAAAATACAGAAGTCTCGCCACCTCAGCATTGGCTTAAATTTTGAATCACCTCTTTAAATACACACACACACACACACACACACACACACACACACACAAAGTTGCAGAATTATTTTTATAGTAATATCAGGTATAGAAACGCTGCATTTTTATTTAGTAAGGATATCTTCATTGCATCCATTTGAGAATTTAAGATATCCTAAAATGAGACTCCCTGAAATCAGATATCTTTGTCTCTTATGTCCCAAGTATTGATACGAAGGTCTAGAATATATTAGATGTTCAATAAGTATTTCTCAGATGAATTTATATCAGTCCTAAAAAGAGGTTTGTAAAATTGCCCGAGCAGGAAAGAGGCCAGGCCAAGAGGTTGAAGGCCAGAGAGCTCTGCCTGAAGGCATGGCACAGAAGAGACTGCCCCGAAGGGACAACTCTATCTTCAGCTTTTGTCACCTGAACTATAACCTGTCAACTCTCCTAATGAGTCCCACAATCATAAGAGTCATCTGTGAGTTCTGTACAGCCCTGGCAATGAACTATCAGTCAGCCGCTGAAGGAGAGCGCCAGCAGTGGAACGGTCAGTGTCAGAACTGGGCCAAAAGGGCTGGACAGTGGAGCATGAGCTGCTCTCTGCCCTGTGATGATAGCGCTGGGGGCCGCAGCAGGACACCTGTGATGCTCAGGCTGTTTTCATGATCATAGACTTAGCCAAAGGCTTAGGGTTCGGATTCCAACACCTATTTTTCACACCAGAGCTCAGGTTAGCCTCCCTGGTCGACAATATTCTGCATATTTAGACACATCACTGTGTTGGGAGTGTGGCACATGCTGATAGCATGGAGAGAAAATGATGGAAACTTCATGATGGAAACCATCCCAGACCTCACCTATGTCTCCCTTCGTTTGGCTCTGATTTGTAGGCTTATTCTAGAAAAAAATAAAAAACAAAAGAAAAAACCCAACAACCTATAATCACAAGTCTGGCACTTTCCAGAGTTGTGTGAATTTCTCCAGAAAACTGTGGAAGTTGAGGGGGCAGTGGAGACCCTGGACCTTGTGGTCAGCTGGTCAGAAATGAAGGTGGATTGCGGTTCTTCAATTTGGGGTTGGTGTCAAGTTAGGGTATTCTCATAGAAAACTCTGCCCTTGACCTTTGAAGTTTGGCCTAGGCCTGGGTAGGTAGTTCAAAAACTCATTGAAATACAGATTGAATAAATAACATGTACAAACTCCTTAGAACAGGTCCTTTCAAGTAGTAGGCACTGATGCAGGGTTGCCCATTCTCCATCTATATCCACTGGGTCCTCCATTGTCAAACTCTGGGTCCTGAAAGGCTGACCTTCATCACTTAATCCCCTTGCTCCTAGGTTGGGTTTGGCATGAGAGACAGGTGAGGGGCATGGGGGGAAAGAAGGAAAGATGGTGCTGTATCCAGGCTTCCCCAGTTCATTGATGCCTGGTCGTGCTTTTTGCAGTGTTTCTCTTTTTCTTGCTCTCCCTCCAGCCATGCTCCCAGCTGCTATGAAGTCTCTCCAGTGGCTACCCTTCTCCCTTCCTAAGCCTTGTCGGTCACGAGAGTCAAGACACCATGCGGAGCTGGGCCCTGAGTGCTTCAACATATCTTGTAGATTCCTTTATGCACATTTACATCTTTGTTCATAAACCCTTTATGAACTATCATTAATTCGCAAGTGGAAGAGCCATGGTGGCAGTGTTGGTTACAGATCGGACTGCTAACCCAAAAGTCAATGGTTCAAACTCACTAGCCGACCCTTAGTAGGAAGATGGAGCTGTTTCCTCTCATAGAGATGTACAGTCTTCGAAACCCAATGGAGCAGTCCTACTCTGCCCGACCGGGTTACAATCAGTCAAAGTCAACTCCATGTCAGTAACTTTCTAACTTGGAGTGTGGTATTTATCACAGACAATTTGGGGATGAATTATTTTGTTTAAGGTAAAAATGTGCAGGTCAGAACCGCACTCCACGTGGTTTTTGACGCTGGGACCCTTTGGAAGTAGATTACTAGGTCTGTCTTCTGAGGGATCTCTGATTGTTTTCAAATGAACAAACTTTAAGTAGCAGTTGACAGCTGAATTGTTTGTATCACACACAAACTCCTTTAAATCAATGAAATATTTGTAGCAGGGATATATATAGATCCCTACTTAGCACGTAAGTAAGACAAATAAATGTTATTAACCTGGTGCAGTACAGGAGTCCTGCTGCCTGGGCTGGGTTCACATTGGTTGCTAACTGGCAGCACCATGATGCAAACCTACCAGTTGCTGTTCTGCAGGAGGAAGCTGAAGCTGTGTGCGCCCATAGAGGTTTCTACGGCCTCAGAAACCCCACTGAGGGTCGCTATATGTCAAATGGGTGTGGGTGTTTGTGTGCAATAGATAGGATGCAAACTCAAAGAAGCCAGAACTACACTGAAGCTCAAATGGCAGAAGACATACCCCTGGTGCTTTATTCACATCTATTCCTCTTTCTTTTTCCTCGGAAGAGTTGCACGTTCTTAACTGGTGGGCAAGGCATTGGTATCTAAGTCCATCCTTTGCCAAGGAAGGTTGAGAACCACTGCTCTATGTATTAGTCATTTTATGTGTGTTACCATGACTATCATATAATGCTAAGTAAACATTTGCTATACAGTGGAATGAGGTTAGTTTTGCTGAGAAATATGAATTAGAAAAACAAAACCAAAACACATATATTTTGGTTTCCAAGATAATCACTGGAGAAGAGGATGTTAATATTTATTGAAATTTAAACATCTGTTTCTTAATGTGCATGCCCATCTAGTCCCTTAGCCACAAAAATGTATTGTCTTATAAAATGTCTTCATATAATTATTTATAAAAGTGTGTTGTGTCGTAAAATATTCTACATATACTTATTTATCAAAAATTTAAAAACCTGATTAAAATAACAACTATAAGTAAAAATATAGCTCTGATCAAGGGAAAATGAATTATACCTTTATATTTCTATTATCAAGAATATTTATAGATCCCTTCTTTGACAGAGATCTGTGATAAAAAAAGATGTTGAATCTATTTAATCTACATGGACCAATACAAAGTGGGGAGCAAACATTTAATGAGCATTTAACTAGTATGAATGCATAAAAATAGACTATTTACCGCTCCCATTTGCTAATTTGGTGATTTATTTAACCTACAGGGGAGTCTTTTTCAAACCTAAACAAATTGGCTGTTCTGAAGAAAAATAAAGTTAGTAATATACACTATTAGGGTCAGTTACATTCAAGTTGATTTCCAATCATGGCAAGTCCATGTGTGTCAGAAGTGTGTTCCAAAGGGGTTCAATGCCTTTTTTTTTGAATTTTATTCTCAGGCTTTTTTTCCCCCCAACAAAATAAATAAACGAATCTATCCCAGGCCTATGGGGTGGATTCAAACCTCCAGTCTTTCAGTGAGCAGCCACTCCTATCAGCTGTTTGCACCATGCAGGGGTTCCTATGGATTATTAAATTGTCCAAATTACTGTAAAGAAACACAAGACTAAACACATGGAAGTACTAAGAGAGAGTCCAATTCCTACTGTTCAGATGGATATTTGCACAGTACTCACATGAGTATTTTAATGTTCAAAATTTTCTTTTAAATCGTAGTGTATATGTCTATTAGGAGAGAAAATTTATGGGATAATGGGAATAGATACCATTCTAATAAGAATATGGAATTATAATGTGTTGCTCATTTATAATCCTTCTTAGCATTCATAGAATCACTAGATGGTATGTTTCAAAAAGACAGAATCACATCTATTTTATTCATCCATGTCTCTAGAAATCAACACTGAGCTTGGAGCACAGTCAATACTCAATAAACACTTATTGAACAATTGAGTGATCTTTCTTCTGAAGTAGATCCTTACTAGAAAATGATTAGTTTAGTCTTCTAATATTTTACTTGTAAGGAGTGCAGTACATTTTATTATATCCTTCCTAGGTTTATATGATTACCTTGGTTTAGACAGGGTAGAGTTTCAGTGTAGATTTTCAGCGAGAAAATGACTCACAAATGCCTTTAATTCTATCCTGTATAGAAAACCATGGAAGGGTAACAATTGGATCTAACGTGTATTATGAACTTATTTAGTAAAGCACTGTAATTCAAAAAGAATATGCACAAAATACCAATCCATATATATGACTGTAATTAAAGGTTAGAGAATGTGACCAGTAAAAATATCTTAGAAAGACTCTTTGAAACTTAGGAAAAGCTATTTTAAGATGATGGTGTCAGTAATAAAAGATAAACAAATGAAGGTTAACGTGACCTCTAGAAACCCAAACCCAGGCTCACTTCAGACTTACCAGCACAGTCACCACACGCAGGACCACTCCACGCATGTTATTTTCCAGTTTCTTGTCCGTCAGTGACCCATTCAGTCCTGTGACAGGATTCCAGCACCCAAGCTGAAAGATAAAATATCTGTGGTCACTTCTCTGCCTGAAGAACTTCTCATCACCAATGTACAGACCTTTCAGGGGGCTTGTGACGTCCTTTGGAATAGTTAGTATCAAAAGGGTGTTGCATGGTTTTTCTTTTTTAATTGCAAATGAAATAATAAGAAATGCCATCTCCTGCTTTTAGAGATCACCGTACAACATGTGACAGTGTCCACACTGCTTCATGGGCTCACTGAAGACATTTGACTTAATGGGCAGTTCTAAATGCACCAAGAACTCAGTCCTGCAAATGCATTAGAAAAATAATAACTCGAATAATTCTAGCAAAATGTCTGTTTTAATACTTCAATTACTGTACAATTAGTTTTTTAGACATTTCAAGTATTTTAACTAGATCTTATTCTGCTTTTATTCAGGAAAAATATCCTGCCAAAATCAATATCGTAGGGGGTGTTATTCCATTTATTTAAGGAAAAAAGATCATGATTTTGGATTTGCTGTTTTCAACAGGACATTGAACAATATAATTTACCTAATTTGGCAGCTCTCTTGATTTGTTTTGGCCAGAGCCTTTTACTTCATGTCTTGCAATAATTCCCTTCTTTTTACTCTTCAAAATTCTGCTTTAGGTTTACCTTCTCGTGTAGTTGTTATCTTTTGTAATCTACAAATTAGGGGACCATCAATTTTCAGACAACTGCCTATAAAGCTTGATGGGAGGAGAATGGATGGTTAAGAGTTCAGAAAAAAGGAGAAAAGAAAAAGAGGATGTGACTTGAATAGGCAGACCACGGCTCAAGGAGCAATGCTGTAGCGTGCTAGAAAGCACATCTTAGAAGAGATGGTGTGCGGCTAATCCAACTAGCAACTCCGTGAGCCTTCCCATTTGAACACCGTTCTACATCTAGGCACCATAGTACAGTGCAGACCTCCCGTCATAGTCAGTTTGCATGAGGTAAACAGCTAAAGGAGCCCCGGCTCTTTGCGTTGTTTCCACCTGATGACTTATTTATTGGTGATTTGTTTCCAGGTGTTGCATTTTGGTTTTTGCCCCGAGTCCAAAACCTACTGGCAAGTCTCCAAACGTACAAACAATTTGGGTGCTTCATCTTAAAACTCAAGTTTTGCCTTGAAGTCCCCAAAAGGTAGTTAATTAAAAATACAAAAATGTAGGTACTATATCATAAGAGAATTGGGGTGTCCCAATATAAACAGCAGAGCTAGCTTTTCTTCCCTTATTAAAGTAATTTGGAAAATGCCTCTAATTGTTGAGTTTCCACTGTAAAAGCACATTAAACTCATACAATGCTAAGTCATTCTTAGTTACATAAAAAGTCTAATTAGAACTTAGATCCAATTAGCAAATCCAAATGTGCTGAAAGTCTAATCATTAGAGACAGTGCAGTCCTCTTGCCAAATTGAAAACCTTATAAAATTTCATTTGAGCTTTTATTCTCTTCTGATGTCGACAAAGTCTGTTCTAAATGACATTTGTTGATGTGTGATTTTTGTAATTACTTCTTCAAGAGGATTTTATTAGCTAAGATCAAATAATACTGCTGGAAAAAAAGAAATAAAGAGAGCGACGATCTGTAACACTAAGGGAAAAGCGACTTTTCCAAAGTACCTTCTGCATTTCACAACTGCATTCCTGAAGTCTGAGATGGATGCGTAACTTTTAGAATATCATCCTGCTCATGAGACACATGCTCTGATCTGCCAAAATAAGCACAAGGATTTCTTGTCTCCCTGGGAGCTGTTTTAAAAGTTTGGTGAACCTACCGTCAGTTTGCCTAAATAAATGGCATTGTCAATGCCAACATGAATGTATTAAAGACAGAAATGTTTACTCAGTGATCACCGTTACTAATTCAGTAGTAATTTGTTTTAGCAAAGCTCTGAATGGTTAATCTGATATAATTCCAAATGTCTTACTAAATATTGTGTTATCGATGAAATGTGCTTACCAAAATGTATATTGGAATCTTAAATTATGAATCTGCAAATATGACCCTGGTTAAAAGTAGGGTTAATAATTATATTACTAAGACCATTCTGGAATAGAGTGTGTCCTAAATCTAATGATTTCTGAGTAGTGTCTTCTGAAAGGGGCAAATAGACCCACATATATGCCCGGTCGCAGTCAGACATATGAGAAACCATCGACAGACCGAGGAATCTCAAGGAGGACTTGGAGAAAACATGCCAAAGAGACGTCTAGCCCGGGAAACTGGAGATGCTACATTTCACTCATTTTCATTGTTCTTGTTATTGCAGCACTAGAAAACTAGGACTTACTGTCAATGGTTTCAATAACTCTAAAGTAGTCTAGGTTTGAGGGCTTAAAACAAAACGATCATAAAAACATTTGTAACAGTAAAATATAGCTTGTCGTTAGCTGTAAGTATTAACTGAAATATTTATACTATACATGATATTATTTCTTCTTAATTTTATTTTTGTATGTTTGGACAGGTTCTCATATATATTATGAGATAGTACTGTTTTCCTTTTCCAGGTAACAGGTTTTCAAATATCTTTTCTTTCTCGCTCTTCCAGCCTGGCATCACGTGTCTTTTGATCATAATACTTGTACAGTTGATCAGTGTCATTTTCTAATTTTAACAACATTGATGTGGGTTATAGAATTGACAAACTCCTTTTACTGAACTAAGCTTGTACTTCATGTCTACTAATTTATAATGCTTCCTAAATGTAAGGCTAAGTAAAAAAGTATTACTACAAACACAAAGGCAGTTTCATTAAACAAAATGATCAAATTGTACAACTATTGTTTCTTGACACATTCTCTAACTAGGTATATTCAGTCCTGAAGTTGGTACTTCCATCGCTTCAATCTGACTTGAATGATTCTGTACAGCTTGATTTACATTATTTCAAAAAATAGTATTGGTATCCCCCAAATCACTCAAACTATATTCCTATTAAATGCTTTTAGTGGGTAAGGACACAAAGAAGTCAGAATGGGCCAAGTCAGGCTTATAAGATGGATATTATAAGGCTTCACAAAAAAGCAAAAACAAAAATTTCACTCCTCTCTAACAAAGAATAGATATATTGTTGGGTTGGAAAAACATTTGTCAACACAACTTCCTTGGCCTCTTTTCTCACCAGTGCACTTTTCATTTTTTAAACAAGTTTTTAAAAAACTTCTTAAAATCTTAAGACCTCCTAAAAGAACATTTTAAGATCCTATGAGTATGCTGTTTTTAGAGAAAACCTTTCAAGAAGAACCCTTTGGAATTTCCCATGTCCCGAATGAAGTTTGCCACACCCTTTTACACTTTCCTTGGAAAGCTTCCTGGACTGTGGCATCCAATTTGATCTAGGTGCCCAGCATAGAGACCTGGGCCCCCAAAACATCTTTGGTTCCTAGTTCTTCAATCCTGGTGGTGGTGATTCCCTTGAACCCAGGATTCAGCTACGCCTTCCAGGCCAATTGGAAAGGTAACTCCGCCCACTGGGTTTTGGGTAGCCCGTCAGCTGAGTGGTTATCTCAGAGTTTCAGAGACCCAACTCTGTGAAACTTAGGAAAATGCACTTTCATCCTTAGAAACCACAGAAGCCATGGGCCGACAAGTTGAGACTTCAGAGGTCAGGCCCCTCACCTTTAAGACCAAGGAACATCTGCACCTGTGTTCTTCCTTTCTTCTGCTGGAGCTCATGCAAAGGTAAGCCCAGTCTCTGTCCTGTTTGAACAAGTGTTACAAACTGCGGCGAAGCTGCCACAGGCACCTCACTCCACCAGTAAGCCTTGGCTCAAAGGCTCTCAGCTATCTTACTATGTGGAACACTGAGCAAAGCCACACTGGCAAATGTGCCCGAAGGCACCTTATTTCACCAGGAAACCTCCTGCCCCGGTGCAGTCGGTCTTGCTCCATGGACTGGCTCCTACACCCCCTTGTGTGGGTATTCTGATTCTGCTGCCATGGCGTTTCTGCTATTGCTTCTTGTGGTCGGTAAAATATACAACATTACACTTTTCCTCACTTCCTTCTAAGCTCTCACAAGAACTTCCTTTACCATCCATAATTCTAGCAACGATCTCTTCAAAACAATCAAGGTTTTTAATGTTAGACATCTTAGAACCCTTCCACTTATTTTCCAATTCCAAAATTGCTTTCACATTTCAAATATCTATTATAGCAGCACCCCATTATCAAACCAAATGTCTTAGACGGGTTCTTGAGAGAAGAAGAGTCAGAATATATATCTGTATGCACATCCATCCCTCTCATCGAGTTGACGCTGACTTACAGCAGCCCTTGGAGGGTTTCTGGGATTTGTAAACCATTATGGGAGCAGGCAGCCTCATCTTTCTCCCCAGGAGTCACTGGTAGGTTTGAACTGCCAACCTTGGGATTTGCAGTCCACCATTAACCTGATAGCATCACTAAGGGGTATAAAATGTGCTGAAAGTCTAATCATTAGAGACAGTG